CACCAAAGAATCTATATACATTAAAAAGAATTTCTCATGATGCTTTAGCATGACAATCAACCATTACTACTCATCTTCAGGACTTCATTTAACTGTTCTTCTTTGGTAACCTTCCATTGTTAAACACTTTTGATGTTCTTAAGAGATGCTTTTTTTTTATAAAAATATTTCTCTCTCATTCATCATGTTCTTGATTATTAATCAGGATTCCATTTTCTCCAGGTTAAACCAGAACATTTCCTAATGAACAATCCCCTTTACAGAGCATCATTGTAAATTCCCATATATACCAAAGACTGCCCTGAAAAGACTTCCAAGTCTGCCCCTTAATCCCAACCACAATGTCTCTGGCACTGTATTTCATAGTATCACAGAATGGTTAGTGTTAGAGGGGACCTCTAAAAATCTTCTAATCCAATCCCCCTGAAACATGTATCCAACAGGGGTATCTTTCACTAGATCATGTTGCTCAAAAACACTCCCCTTTAAGCCTGCATTTCTTAACAAAGAACATACCTCTGCTCTTACACAGAGATTAATGCACACATCCCTTCTTGCTTCCTTCCACTGGCATTCCCATGACTTCCTTTCAAGATGCCAATATCAAGCACCAGCTTTGGCTTGTCCTTTCAGCTATCCTTGTATCAGTTCTCTACATCATCCCACTCTTTGCCATTTTCTCCCTATTTAATACCCTTTCTCATAATACATCCTTTGGTGCTGTCCAGTTTTGCTTTAAATGCACCATTAGCATTACAGAGGAAATTAAAATTACTAGGCACCCTTACTGGTTCATTCAACATGAATAAACATTTCCATCTGCCACAGGGCAGATCATTTCAATCTTTGACAAAACAAAACACCCTCTGAAATCAATAGGAACATTGTGCCAAAATGAAAGAAGAGGTTTTCAGTAAGTAATGCATACTATTGCTTATACTTAATGGAAAGAATACTCATCACCATTAACTCAGAGTCAGACATTGAGAAATAATGTCACAAGTACGGCACACGACCAAACCAGTGCCTCACCTTTATATGTGGCAAAGTTTCCTCAAAATATCCCAGGTAAATACATCTCACAACCCAAAGCAGTAACAAGAAGATCCCGATTTCTCTTTTCAAAGCCAAATCCTAGCACAAACACTATGATACCTAGGCCCTCCCTGGCATTAGATACCAGTAAATCTTGAATTTAGCCTAACAAAGGGGATATATTAAAGCAGACAAGATAAGCATTTGTCAGAGCCCTTCTGAGGGTAACTGAGGGAAGGTTGTCACTGTCACTGCCACTGCAGACTGACATTTCAAGCCAATGTTTGAACTTCCACGAATTACCAGATTACATGTTTTTATTTAAGCACGAAAGACTTTGAAAAAGAAATGGGAATTTCAGCAAGCTGCAGGTTGAACAAATTGATTCTGTACGATTTACTTTTCACTTTTGCTCAGAAGAGGAACTTTAAGAAATCTACACTACATGAGTCAAAGAAATTGATGGTTTTGTACTAGCACTATATCACTGCCACAAGTTCAAGCTAAACCAATCACTTTTTAACTAGAAAGAGGCCTGAGACATAATGTTCTGATCTCAATCTGAACTTCACAAAGTTCATGGTGGTTATGTTACGATTTGGCATTTGGCTTAGGATCTTCTCCACTTTTAACACTGAAGAATTTTTTTTTTTTAAAGTAACAGCAGACTCTCCTCTATCAAGTTTATTAGAAATCAATGAGTAAGCTCGATCCAATCTCATTTCAACATTGTAAGAAGTCTAAATAGGTGTCTTTTAGCACTGCAGTTATAATAAACCCCTCTAAGGCTCTCCGGGAGTCTAGTATGGATGTGAATTCCAATATGAACAGGATTTGAGGACATCCCTGGACAGATCTGCCTGATAATTACTGGCTCAACTGCAAACTGAAGACAGGGAAGGATTTTTAGATCAACATCGCCCTCTAAAGGGTTTGTGCTGTATTGCGATGGTTTTCTTCAGTACTGCAGTAAAAATCATTGTTTTCCACTTGAAATTAAAACACAAGAGGTAGCCAAAAAATTGCAGACTTTGAAAGCCTAAATACAGAAGCTATTTCTTCTGATTCACAAACATCCAGAAACTGCATGAATAAAGGATATTGTTCAAATACAGAATCTGGAAAGAAACGTCTTAGGACCATTTGAATTTTCTGGGGATTAGGAAAGTAAGTTTTGGGAAGAAGATGATTTTGCACCATTGTTTGCAATATTCATACACACAGGAGGCGTTAACAGGCTGGCAGCACATCTAACCGTTCTGTTTCAGGGCTTGATTTTGGTTTGCCTTCTGCTGCACTGCAGTCAGTGATCTTTGCAGAGCATCCATGTAGTAGAAGGAAATAAATATCTTGTAAAATGGCTGTATAAGAATGTGCTTTCATTATCAGCTAAAGCAATTCTGAAATGCATGATGCTGAAAGGGCAGAGCAAATAAACCTGCCACACAACAGCACAAGTAACAGAACCAACACACAAAAAAATCATTTAAAAAATATCTGTAAAAACAGAAAGTGATGGGGAGGGGAGCAGTCTTAGAGTATCTGAATCATGTAATCTGCACTCTAAAATGCAGAAAAGAGCAATCAAGAACCCTTCAAGAGTAAATGGGTCTGTTTTGTTTCAACATACACTCAGAAAAACTGATTCAGCTAGTGGGCAGAGCTGGGAGTGCCCTGTATCAACAGAGGAAGTTCAAAGCACTACTCAAGGCAAGAAAGATGCTCCCAACAGTTATATCCAAGTAGTGTAAGAATGAAAGAAAAAAGCAAAAATTTGATGCCTGTTACTGCAACTCTCAAGACGGACATAACTAATTTCAAATGACCTCTCACTCCAGAGGAGAAATTCCTCCACAAGTCTGGATATCTTAGCTACTCAATGAAAAAGCTCAGAAAATCAGCAAGGACCATTCAAAAATATTCAGGGGCATAAGATTCAAAAAGCATAGTTCTGAAAGTAGAAGCAGCTCGTTAACAATGAACATCCACAAAAAGAAGATTTTCATGGATGAAAATTATTTCCATGGACCCTCACAGATAAAATACCTGGAAATGCCATGACAGAAGAGGAACATTGAGCACACTCATAGTGTGAGTCTCAGAAGCAACAACTATGAAGTCGGACAACTTCGTTTTTACTAAATGCAAGAGCACCTCAGTGAAATACAGCCTCTCAGAAAGGAGGCGTGGCGTTTGCAGCTTGGTTTTGGTCCTCCTTATAGATGAGCTGTGAACTTAATTTAAATAAACATACTAACTGTCAGGTCACCTATTCATTACAATAATCAGGTCTGAACATTTCAGTATATATAAAGAGTATTGTGCTCAGCTATGAAGACCAATTTCTCTCCTTGATGCTCATTCAGCAAAAGATATGCTGCGGGCCTAAATTCAAATGGCACACAGCAAATACACATATCTAAATAATTTATGGAGTTTTATTATAGTTACAGAACAGCATAAATCCATAAACTGTATCATGTTCGTGGTGAGTTGATCCTGGATGGATGTTAGATGCCCACCAAAGCTGCTCAATCACTCTCCCCCTCCCACAACTGGACAGGGGAGAGAAAATATGACAGAAGTATTGAGTGATGAGGTAAGGACAGGGTGAGGTTACTCACCAGTTACTACAGGCAAAGCATACTCAGGCAAATCAGTTTAATCTTTATTTTATATTACTGATCCAACCAGAGTAGGATAATGAGAAATAAACTGAAATCTTAAAATACCTTTCCCCCACATGTCCCTTCTTCCTGGCCTTAACTTTACTCCTGATTTTCTCTACCTCCTCCCCACTCAGCACCTTAAGAGGGATGGGGAATGGGGGGTTGTAGTCAGTTCATGACACTTTTTCTCTGCTGGTCCTCCCTCCTCAGGTCTGCCATGCAAAGCCAATTACAACACTCTTGATTTGCTGGCTGTTGATTGACCTCAAAGAATGTACCTAGCAAATAAAGCTTCCTTGAAGAACAGTAAGTAGAAAGAAAAATAGGTCCTTCTCAGTCTCTAATTTCCTGCCATACCCTGGGAAAGAATGGTAAGATTTAATTTCAAGCGTTACATGGACCGTCAAGCACACCTAAATAATTGCACACAGAGAAGGATAACAGTAGAGGAAGTGAGACCCACTCCAGGAGAGACCATTCACTTTAGACATGGGCATTTGCCTGTACACAGGACAAGGCGAGCATGTAAAAACTGCTCCCCCAATGCCATCCCAGGTTCCTGCTACTTGAGGGTAATCAATTGCCTCACAAAGAAATAGCACCTGCCACTTAATGTCCTCAATAGATTTTTCTTCCGCTAGTTCACACAATTATTCACTGAACCCAACTATCCTCATTTATTCCCTGCCTATGGCACTCTACAGAGTTCCACTTTGTACAGTCATGGCCAAAACAAAACTAAAAGCCCTAGATTTTAGAAGTTGAAAAGATATGCCTACTTCATTTTTTAATACTGGATTTGTTTAAAATATTACAGTGCACAACAGAATCTGGCCAATCTCTATTCTTGGAAACAAAAAGAGCATCATTTCTGAACATTTTCCTGAAGTATCAGTTAAATACCTCAATGTGTTTCTGTATAGCACACTTTCCAGGGCAGTGTATTATAAAACACTGAAACCAGTGCACAAAATAAGCCTTCTGATTAAGTTGAGTGCTTATGGCCCACATTTTAAGAGTGAATTAATCCCAGCCCTGACACTAACATGTTTTGACACTCAGAGCTTTTCACTTCACCTCTCTATATATTCACTTTTTTCTATTGTACGACAGACATAATGATTCTTTGCCTGCTTTGTGAAGCCTTCTGAGAATTGCAGCAATAAAGTACTACATATAAAGAGATATGCATTTATATTGAAATGCACCTATTCACAAAGAGCCATCAATTTCCAACTCACTAGTTAAACCATTTTTATAGGCTTTCATTCACAAAAAAGCACATGAAAAATTTACCTGCTCATTTTTGCAGATCCATACAGTACTCCCCTGAAGTAGAATAAAGATCTTGGTTTTGTATCCTTTCAGCTCCAGATACCCACTTTTCTCAGGGGTGACTGAAGTTCGAGACTGAGAGTTATTATCAGACTGCAATTTCAAGGCATTGAGTATTGTATTAACCCAGTCATTTCTTTCTTCTAAACAAGAAAAAAAAAAAATTTTGGTCAAAGACAATTAGTTAAGCAGCAGCCTCATTCTTCTTTACACACTGGTTTTCCCAATGTTGGTTGATAGTACAGCTATTCCAAATAAGAGAGAACATCCACGCTGAGGAGGAGGTGTAAACAAAAATAATGACAATTTGTATCAGTGGAAGTGTTAAAAGGACAGCCATCAAATTAACGCCCAACAATCAACACAAACCAATCCAAACAAGCTGATGATCTAGATTCTTGAAATAATGACTGCTAGTTCTGAGATACTTTATTCCAGATAGCTTGAAGACTGAGGAGACAGACAAGTGAAGAGGTTAACCTTCTGTAAGCCAGATCAATGGGAAAGAAGTACAGCAGTTATGTAAGCAGAAACCAGGTAGCCTAAATCTCATCTGTCACTAAAGAGGCAAACAGTGCTATTCCATGCTTGGCCCTGCTTTTAAGAAAAAAACACTCGGTAATTTACAATCTATTCCATTAAGGTGTGGTGGTTAAGCTTGATATTGTCAAGGGTACTGAGTAATTAAGAAAATGCATATTTGAGCATCTCTGCATGCATTATTAATGTAACATCTTACAAATACATGAATACAAGGAGGTGAAGTAATATAGTTTCGCTCAGTCTCATTCGCCATGTTCAGACATTTCACTGGACTAGGATCAATATACTTTAATGCTGAGTAGTCCAAATGAATTAGGTTTGCCTTATGTGATTGGAATATCATGAATATTTCAACTGTTTGCTCTGAAAGAGCCAGATCACAAAATATATTGGGGGTGGGGGGGCGGGTAGAGGAGGGAAAGAGAAGGATTGGAAGTTCTACACACACAGTATTTATAAAGCTGGCAAAATGAGCGTGGAAGACTGCAGGGAGCATCATTGAAATAATAATGTGCTTACTTCATAAATGGCACGTGTGCAGCATGAAGGAACAAATACACAAATTTAGGTATCATAAAATACTTTGTAGAAAAGGAAGACAGAAGCCTGACAGATTAGCAGAGGGTATGTGATCCAAGTGCTCCTGTAAAAAATTTTGCTTTAAAATACATATATGCTTGAAATACTCCAGTAATGTTTTCAAAGTACTTTAGTATAGCTGAGGGCATCAAATTACTCTGGAAGTGTTTTTTTTCAATGGTATTTCACTCTGGTGAAACAAAATCTCAATGCACCTGAGAAAGTTATGCTCTAATTCACTGCTATCCCTTGTTTGGTTTTTTATTTTGCCCCCAAAAGCCCCTAAAACTTTCCAAACCATTATATATACTACTTTTCCCTCCAGATATTTAAATACGTCCAAAAGTAACTCATTTCTGATATCTCAAAATACATATAAAAGTCTCCATTTTAAAATCTCTGAAAGAAGTTAAGTACCCTTTGAATAGTCCCAGAACAATTCCCAACCACAAATCTACAGAATAGTATCAAGTAACAGTTTTATTTTTTGCACATAACAGAAATCAAGCAGGGTTATTTACATACTTTACTGGGAATACAACATCCAGTTCTGGATACAGTAATGGCCAAATTCCGTATACAATTAGCATTTCTAATCTTAAGTGAACAGCTTTACAGAGAGGTTGCTATGTCCAAAGATGGTTACATACTACATGATAATGGAATTTCATGTGTAAGAAGTGGTTGCTCTGAATATATTCTATAAGTCAGTACATGTTTTTAACATTTTTATAGTATCCAAAGCAAAGGTCCACAAAACAAATTGCAGCCCTTCAAAATGTATTGCACCAAGATGGTTATATTCTAATTTATGAAAAAAAATATTAAAAATAAATTTGGAAGATAAATGAGAAAATAATGAAGAAATACATACTTTTAAACTCAGCTATGAGCATAAAAATGACTGAAATTATTTGAGCCAAACCTGATAAGAGGGATTTGTTCACTGATGCTGCACTCCTGTTACAGCCTGCAGCAAATGTTTACAACCAACTATAACCCATAAAAATAGGATTTGATAATGGAAATGCTGAGAGACCCTTAGCTATAATGGCTCTAGCATGTACTGCTGTAAATTCATATTGCACAACTCTTTTTTTCTAGGCATTCATTTTTGATTGTTTCCACAAATAAATCATACATGCACTGATATTGATTCCACATATTACAGCTGTACGTTGATAAAGCATTCAATTAGAAGGCACACTAACTTCCTTGCTACAATTTACATTTGTAATCTCTATCAATACCTGGCTGAAAATACTGCATAGGACAGAAAACCACGGATTTCCTTTGATCGCAGCATCATTTCCCAGGCATCATTCATTGTCTCTGTCAATTTTTCATCAAGTGGTGACTCAGAGTTGTCTGAGAGCACACAGGCTGTAAGAGCTGCTAGTGAGCCTTGAGAAATGTTCAGACAAATTAATCTTCAGGAAGGATGGGGGAGGAGGCAGAAGAGTTGGGAAAATAAGTCTTCTCATTTTGATATTTGAAAAAGCCATTGCCCAACAATTTCTGTTGTTCTTACAAAGTTCAGAGTTCTATCCAGTTTCACTTTATGAGCTTAAACCATGTGGATTCCAGAAATATCTCTCATAAGTCATATTTCACAAACAGAATTTATCAACAGTGATTACACGGCTCGTTGGCAATTTTTAGAAACACACATCTTCTACTTACCCTCTTTATCCACACGGAAAACGAAAGTCCTGTGGGATGTGACTACTTCAAACTTATTCTCCCCATGAACTCTTACTGTTGCTATTGCAGAGAGCAGTATTATTCCTTTTGAGAACACTTCCTGTAATAAAAAGGCAGTCAAAATATTTAATTCTCACGAACTTTGAATTTCTCTGAGGAAATACTATTTGTCGTGACGTTCAGGAAGTTCACCGCACTTAATATAACTTGAATAAGTGAACCCCTTCACTACTAACCTATCACCAACTTCACTGTTCTGGATCTATGCACATCTACTACTTTCTAAAATAGAGTAAAATCCCCTGATGAGATAGACTGTGCATATCTGAGATTCAACTTCATAAATTATCTCATGGCATTAATGTTGCAAAACATCACACCTTAATTTACAATTTTATGCCAAAGTAAATTACATTTACTATCTCAGAAAAAAAATTTAAATATATAATTATTATACTTTTATGATATAATCAGACATGGGAGAAATATTATACTTTCTCCAGGCAGAGCATTCCAGATAGTTTTGCTGTTCTCCCCACACCTTGCCACTTCAGTAGGTAGTCAGTAAGAAAAGTAAATTCGTTGATTTTATCCCTAAGTTTGAACACAAAGACGCCCATCACTGGAAAATTACAGTGTCCTGTCAGTGCTAACAAGAATGCTCTAGCTTGGATCAGGTACATGTTTTTCTGCCATATGTGTGTGCTGGTTTTGGCTGGGATACAGTTAATTCCCCTCACAGTAGACAGTCTGGGGCTATGTTTGATGATAGAAATAGGGTTCACAACACAGGGACGTTCCAGCTATTGCTGAGCAGTGCTAACACAGAGCCAAAGTCTTTTCTGCTCCTCACCCCACCACACCCCTGAGGAGGCTGGGGGTGCACAAGAAGATGGGAGGTGATAGAACCTGGACAGCTGACCCCCAGCAGACCTGAGGGATATCCATACCATGTGGCAACAGGTATGTAAAGCTGGGGGATATTCACAGTGATGGAGTTTCTCTTCTCAAGTAACCATTATGCATCCCCTGCTCTCCTGGGGATGGCCAAACACCTGCCAGCCCATGAGAAGTGATGGATAAATTCCTAGGTCTGCTTGTGCACAGCTTTTGCTTTACTTCCTATGTGTCTCTATCTCAACCCACAAGTTCTCCTGTTTATTCTTCTGATTCTTCTCTCCATCCTGACTGGGGGATGAGTGAGTGGGTGTGGGGCATGGTTGCTGGCTGAGGTTAAACCACAATAATTTGGGGTCAGCAGATTTTCCCAATATGTTTAGATTTCTAACTAGGTATTAGGACAACTGAATAGAACACAAATGCAAGATAGGAAAAAGTAACTGCCACAGGTACTTCTTTCAAGGAGCTCACCTTTTAACAGAATTAACCCAAGGGTTTGGGGTGGGGGTTGGCAGGAAGAAAAGCTGAAGCAGACGTGCACTTCAGAAATAGATCTGCATTATTTCTGGATTCCTGAGTTAATGCTGTTCTTGTCTCCACTATGCTTTTATCAATTCATTTTCTGACCAAGACAACTCAGATATACTGATAAAATTTATGATTCAGACACAGTAATAGTCCAAGAGTTAGCTTCCCATAAAGAAATTGTGCTGTAATAACTTCCCTCCCAAAGTATAAATTATTATAACAGACTTCATACAAGCACTCAAGGAAGATTGTGAATGTGAAACAGGAAGGATATACTGGATCATTTTTTTATTTACTGAGTTTAATATACTAATGTTGTTTCACTTGGAGGTACTAATACATGTCAGTGAAGGCAGTTTAGCAGATAAATAAATAGAAATATTGTAATACAGCAGAAGCAAGCATGTTACTATAGTTACATACAAGGAATAGACAGAACGACCACTGAATTTATAGAATTGCATAGTTATTTTCATTATGGCTGTATTTGTTAAAATATGTTAATAACTTATTTTTAAATGAGGTTGGATATCAAGTTAACTACTGATCCTTCAATGGTAAAACAAAATTTTTACATATACAGCTCAGTAAGTGTTCATTTATAAGTATGCTATGGTGTTTGCAGGCATCTACTGGCTGCATTTGGTACTACTGCAAGAGAATAACAGACTGCTGCAAGTTACAACTATTTTATTTCATTTGCTAAAAAAAAAAAGCCAGTTTCCTTTTAAGCTGAGTATAGTTTTGCTTTGTTATTTAAACAATCATCCATCATCCCTTTTAAAGGTTTGTTCTCCAAGGCATACATATTTTCAAATACAGTTTAAACCATAATAATTTATCAATCTATCTTTCCTGTGCAGCAGTTTTTCTTTCATGTGCAAAAATAATGCCTGTTAAAAAGCTCTTGTAGATCAAGACACAATATCTCTCTTTGAAATACTGCAGACTATAAATTAGGTGAATTATTTAAGAATATAGAAAACAAAGCCAAACAAACATAGCCAATTTATTCTGTTACTGAGTGGTGTAAACTAGTTTTAGAGCTGCTAAGAATTCTCTGACAAAACATTTTCTAGCAGGGAAAGCAAACTGTCTGGGTGGTTTTTTTTTTATATCAGCTGGTTCAACAGAAATTTTTATCTTCAAATAGAGCCCTATGTCACTCCTTGATGGTTGTGATTCAGAGATGAGCTAATGGATCCTGGAAAATACCGTTTTGGACTACTTTGACAACAGGTTAAGTATGACCTATTTCAAGAATGACAGTGATTCACTTGTTTTGCAGTGAATTCTTGTCTTTGTAACTTGTATCGTGACACAACAAAATACTGAAGTTTTCCACTAGAAGAGTGAAATATTTTTCCTAAGTCACTAATAGATTTATCAGGGATGCCAAGCTGTTTTAAATAAAAACTTTCAACATAACCAGGAATTTTTGTCTTATTATAAAGTGCATGGTAAAACACCACAGCTCTGCCAAAAGTAGGAAGAAATTTGAAACAAAACTTGTGCATATACAGTAGCTGAAAAAAAATCTCAAATTCTACCTTCCCCTCTTCAGTTAACCACACTCTGTTGAGACAAAGCCACATGGGATGTTGATCTGATTACATCAGCTTTCTCAGGATTAGAAACACAGAAGAAATGAGAGCAACACAGATTCAAACCAAAACCTTCCCTAGGTCAGATGCTGTTCATTAAAAGCTGAATCTTTTTTTCATGTATGCAGATACAAAAAAGAGATCTCCATCATGTAGAAGTGATGTACACAACTAAAACAAGGTTAGAGAAAGATTTATAAAATTGGTGTTTAAATCATTCAAAGCATTCATAAGGGCACTTCCAGGAATGTTTCACATATTCTCTGTCTTCCCTCTATAGTCCCCGGTTATTTCACTCTTCATTAGCCACGTAGTACACTTCCCCATCTTGAGAACCTCACTTCTCTCTAGCTCCTAATTTGAATGACAAATAGAGCTATTTAATATTGGTAATGTTTCTGGGTAAAATAAACAGTTCCATTCCACTGAGCCTAACCTTCTCTGCTTGTAGTACAAAGAAAAATATCAAGCATGAATTGATCTCCTTCTGAGAACTACTTTTAATTGATACATGAAACCAAAAGTATAGTTTCTTTATAACATGCTTGTCTGTGTAGGAACATCCTAAGCCAAACACAGATTAGAATAGACAGAACTTGCCATTAAGTTCTAAAATTAAAACAACAACTTCCCCACTTAAATATCTAAGTAGCCAGCCATGTAGGTAGGAAGGGGGACATGCAAGGTGCTCAGACTGCATGCAGGTCTTGATAGGTCTGCAAATAATGTCAAGGTAACAACACACAAGCTACAGCAGGAAAATGCTGATATCTATCTCACATGAAATACAAACACCTGTAAGTGTGGAGACAGTGGTCCAACAGAGACCACAGCACAAAAACTCATTTTCCTGAGTGACACCACTGCTCATTCAGCACAATCCCACTGGGCACTAAGAAATACTGGTACCCAATTGTATTTTCCTCCTACCTGCAAGCTAATTTAAGTTTCACCAAATCCTAATTTCCCAGAATCTGCTTCAGGCCTTGCAGTTCACAGATACATTTCTTCACATATGTGACTCACCAAGCTAACAAGTCAGACACACAGATTTGGTCAAACAGTATACACAGAGAGCAAGCAGCATCTTCAACACCCAGAGTGACGCTTGGACTCAGATTCCAGGAAAAGCAAGGCAAAGAGGCTTAAATACAGGTGTCTGCCAAGCTGCTGATAGTCTAACCTACCACACAGACCTTTTAAATAGAGGATGCAGAGCTGGTAGCTTCCTATGCATCCTGTGACACACTAAACATTCATTTCAGCAGAAGGGAAGACTTTTGGAATCTCTTATGACAAAAAGATGCATAAAAAGTGCTATTCTAGCATAACTGACCTCCAAGTAACATTTTTAGTGACTTTTAAAAAGAAGAAAAAAATAAAAATAAATTCCCAGTGCAGATACAAGACTTTAAATTCTATATTAGCATTTCTTTCCCTAATTATGCTGCAGATAGTGTTAAGAACATCCCATTGCTGTATTTTTTCAAGTCTTTCTTAATTATCAACCCTGCTTTTCTGCTCCTCTGAAGCCATGGGATCAATTCTGCAAAGGGGTACCATTTTTTGTCACTGCAATCCAAATGTTAATCTCCTTATTCTATTGTTCCCTTCACTTACAAAATTATGTCTTCTACTGAAAGTGAAGCAAAGCAAGTTAAAACAATTGTTTCAAGTTTGTAATCATTAGGCACAGTATCAATGTAAATAATTTTTGATCTTGTTCTTCGTTCCTCAGCCCCTCAGAAAATTAAGTCTCATCCTACTTCAGTTCTTACATCCTCACCCCATCATAAGGCATCTATGGGTCTCTTACCACCAATCAACATACTATTTCAGAACTTTTACCTAAAACTGTATTTTCTTCCTAATGTAATATGCATCTTCAACAGGAAATTATTTACAGCATTTAAAATAACACATATGCATATGGAAGAGAACTTCAACTTCCCTTAACATGTAGATCTTACAGTCATCTATCACTTTTAAGTCTAAGAAGGTCTTCACTACTTCCAAGAGGAAAAATTAATTAGTAAACCACAGAGCAAAAAAAAGTAAATAAATTTTGTAGTGCTCTGAAGGGTAATTACATGGAATTACAAGAGAATTACAAGGAATATAAGCTTTGTTGAAAACCATGATTTAAAAATGCATTTTTTTATCACATATAAGAAGTGAATTACTTTAATCAAAGCAGCTCATGACTCTGCAAATGTTTCAGCAAGATTCAATCCTCAGGTACCGAAACAAAAACAGCCATGTACACTGTAGTACTGTACTGTTTTTGAACACTCCCATTCAAACCTAACCTGGCTCTATGACATGAGATTATTCAGAGAAGATAAACAGGAAAAAGACATTTTTAATCAAAGAGTCAAGAAGCATATAGGTTTGGGTTGGGGTTTTTTTTAATGGTCTTCCATGCTACTTTTTAATTTCTCTCTGACAATCTCCAGCATGCTAGGTTCCCATGACAAGACACTTTGCAAAAACCATCAAAAGAACATCTCTCAAAAGTGTTTAGTATGATCCTGTTCTGTTCTGAAGACAGCAGTGTCAGTGTCTCACTAAATTAAAAAAAAAAAAAAATATCTGAGGATATCCCCCTGGAAAGGTAATACAAGCCCTTCTAGGAAACAAAAGGATAAACAATACATGAAGACAAGGACACCCTAAAATATTTAATTACATCTCACCCTAGTATTTTATAATTGAAAATTAACTTAAGATGCATATTCATTTGTAATTATTCAATAAATTCTTTATAGTACCTTCTGTATTACACAGATGCATTTTGTTCCAAGTCCAAATATGGCCAAAACACATCCCTTACCTTTTCATTGTTGTAATAAGAAATGCTCTCTCCATCAAATTTGACCCAGCGCTTCTGAAACACACGTTTGCTGTGAATCAAAAATAAACACAATTAATGTACAGCCAACACTGGTTTTAATAATGTCTCGATCACAACTTATAGAAAGGTCAAGTCTTGTTTACCTTTCTGTTCAAATGAATATTACGAACATAGAACATCACTTTAAGTGCTACAAGCTCTAATAAAATACTTTCCAAAAATGAAAGCTGAGAACATCAAATGACCATCTCACTGTCATGCTTATGACAGGGACATCTCTGTTCACAGGCTTTGGTACCTCCAGTCATTCAATGTCAACATACCTCCCCAAGACTCTGTGTTCTGGCCAATGAATCAATAGCAGCACACCACATCTCCCAACAAGTACAACATGCAATTTTATTTATAACAATGTGTGTTATCTACTGGACACCATTAATGAGAAACTTTTAGTGTGCCATTAACTCAAGCCCCATAAAGACCTTCTAAAAATGTATTTTTACATCAACCTGAAGTAGCCCATTACACTCATTAAAAATGTTGACAGCTTGTTAGTTATCATCTATAAATGTCTCAGTTCTAAAATCTATTAAACATGTTAATTAAGCAAGAACAAGACCCCACTAATATCTTTTCCCAACATTATTTCCTTTCCTTTTAACTGAGTGCTCTGCTTTAGGATTAGTAGACTGCGATAGCTTATCAAAACTTTAATCAAATAGCAGCTCAGGCTTAATTAACTTGAATTATATGACTACAATAAATCATCATTTTTCATAACCTGGAAAGGTCAATGTACCATTTATTTTGCATTAAAATGTCAATAAACTTCAAGATTATAGAGGGGCGAGTGAACCTAAGCACCACACACAATGTGAGCAAACTGAATGGCCATACAATTTCTAGAGAATTAACTAAAAAAAGAGAGGCCATACTTTCATGGCATGATTTGTAGCAATTTAAGGAAACAGTATATATTTTTTTTCCCCAAGGAGTCACAAACCGCTGGGTGTAAACAGGAGCTTTATTAAAAGAATGGGAGGTGTAGAACAGAATGAAATACTCTGTTGGTGGGAAGTGAAATAAAATATGACAGAGCTTCAATAGTTTTAAAAAACAAATCCTTTTCCAAATTTGGTTGGGTTTTTTTAATTCTTCAGATGTTTGAGAAATGGTATTGTAAGAAAAAGAAATAAAAATGTATCAAACACTGAATCACCCCTGAGAAAAAGTCCTTGAAATACAGCTGTGGAGTGTCACTGGATCAAGGCTAATGACAGTGCAACTGTTCTACTCAGTACTAAGCACTACTAATTTTGTGGTTAACTCATTATCTTTTCCAAATAATTGTCACACTGCACTTTCTTGAAGTTTTCATAGCTTGTTCTCAACTCTATTCCTTCAAATAGAGCAAGACAAGCCAGCTGGAATTAAGAACTATACTTTTCATCACTCTGCTAGTTAACTGGCAAAAGTGTTGTTTAAAAAAAAAAATCCTGTAAGTAAAATAAAACAAAAGTTACAAGCAACTGCAGCTCTCCAAGAAGTCAGTACCCTAATAATTCTGTGAAAAAAAAAAAAACAATGAAAGAAAGAAAAACAGTTTAACGATAGCTGGACTTTAAGATCAGTTAAAAGAAAACAAAAAACCTATAACAGACATTAAGATTTGTTGTTGTCATCTGTTGCTGTCATCTAACTTCCAAATGTGACAGAGAGAATTAATTTTCTATTGTGGTCCCTTCTCTTCATTATTTGGAATATTAAGACTTGAGCTGAGATTTCTCACATCAAATTTTAGATACAAAAATAAATTTAACTAGAAGGAATTCACCCCAGGTGAATTCTAAGCTCACAGCTCAAGTAACACAGTCAGAAAGCAACAGGGCCTCCAGTCACACTAATTATTAAGTTATAATCCATGATCAAATTAGTAAAGTAGTATTTCAGAATCAGAGTTTGTTCTCACTTACTTTGTGGCCCACAAAAAATGAGCAAAAATGTAGCAACCGGAAATACTGGTACAAATTCATCCTTTATTTTTCCACTATAGCTCATGAGTGGTGATCAACAATTTTAAGAAAAATGTTTTTCCTGAGAGCATCTCCTAAAGAAACTTTAGGATAGGTAACATCACTAAAAACATTTAAATTCACGAAAGCTTGATGCTCTTTCAATGAAAACAATTCCCCTTCCTCTTCCACTACAAATATTAACCAGTCACTAAATACAAACTTACTATCTCTCATGCAAACATACGTTGTCATGATTACACAATAACCACTGCAAATACCATACCCTTGAGGGGATAATTTATCCAGCCATCCTGCTTTAACCTTCTTTACTGACGGTCCGTAAAAGCAAGCATATGGTGTTATCGATTCATTTCCAATCAAAGTTCTATCTCCACCAAATTGCCAAAAATTCATTTGTTCACTGGCCAAGCGATCAGAATCTCCACTTTGTATCTTACTGCAAGATGCTGAGTGTGTTTTGGTTTTCTTTTTCTTTTTCTTTAAAGATAAAGAATGTTGTTCCACAATAGAATACACAGATTCACTTTCAGATTCTTCTGGTGTTAATGGTGGGTCTTCCTGAGACAAGAATTCATTTTTTGCAAATTCTTTTGTCTTCTCCTTCTGATTATTACAGTAACTGTAAAGACAAAGTGAATTTTCTCTTAAAATTTATTATTACAATGCACAAATACATGAAATTAGTAATTAGAACAAATACTTCTACAATATCTTTATAACTTGTATAATCACAGTGATAACCAGACATGCTAAACACAATCTACCTTACAACTACGACCATCCTGAATCCTACTTTCTCCATTCAACAGGAACAGTACCAAAATAACACTCCTTTGGAAGCCTGAACAGAAATTTAAAATTAAAATCTCCTTCCTCAGAAAACTAGCTTTGCTGTTTTGAACACTTGCTGACTTGCAGTGTCACCTCTTTTCCCTCTCCCAACCCAACAGGAGCCTGGTGCAGACTGAATAACTAAGAAGCATATTAGCTCCTACTTCTTCAAACTGGCCACTGTCTTGTGACAGGAGTGGTGAATGTGTTTTAGTTTTGTCTTTGTTTGGATGGGTTGCTTTTTTTCTAATGACAAACTAAATCATGAGAGCATTCAGATACAGTTAGCTATGAGACATACAAAAATAGAACTTGGTCTCCCTTATTCTGACTAGGGAAAACATGGATACTCTCCAAATCCACAAGAGATTCTGAAAGCTGGTTTAAACAGTCTCAGAAGAGCCCCAGTGCCCATATTTGCCTCATATAGGATGGAGTAAAGCCTCTAATAGAAGAAAAGATATATAGTCATGGCTGTGTCCTCAGAGCTAGAGATCCATCTGTGACATCAGTAAATAACATTTTCTTCTTTACACTTTGAGTTTCTCAGTAGTTCTTATTTAATACCATAGATTCTTGGAAGAATATTCTTCATTCTTTCCTAGATGCAATTTATTTTCACAAGCCAGGAGTTCATCTCCATGAAGTTCCTAGAAAAGAAATATATTGTAACTAACATTTGTACTGAAGGACTAAGTGATATTTAAATTACTGTAGATATAAATCACACACAAAGAGCCTAACTAGAAAAGCTGTTCTTTCCCACATTTTCAAACATGAACTTGAAAGATGATTTTTGTATTTTAAGCAATGTTATTTTCAACATTTAAGCATGGCCCAAAACAAATGATACAAACAAATCAGATAAAGAAATTCAGAGGATTAGTATTTCTATACACTACTCCTCTGACTTTTCTCAAGGCACCACTGACACCCTGGTTTCGGCAGGGATAGAGTTAATTTTCTTCCCAGCAGCTGGTACTATGCTTTGCATTTGAGAATGAGAATAATGTTGATAACACACTGATGTTGCTGGGTACAACCTACTCTAAGTCAAGGACTTTTTAGCTTCCCACGCTCTGCCAGCAAGCACATTCACAGGAAGCCAGGAGGGTGCATGGAGGACAGCTGACCCAAACTGGCCAAAGGGTTGTTCAATACCATAGAGCATCATGCTCTCTCCTTTCCACTAGAGTTCCTATCAGTATTAGTATTATTATTGTATTTTGCTTTGTTGCAATTATTAAACTGGTCTTATTCCACCATCTAAGAGGTTACTTGTTTTCCAGTTCTCACTGCAGTGGGAGTGAGCAAGCAGCTGTGTTCTAGTTACCAGCTGGGGTTAAACCACAATAACTGAACAGTTTTTAAGCTCAAAAGCCACACGTTACATGCAGTTAAAGTACCATTTATGATTTGTGACTGCTAGCCTCTCTTTCATAACAGTATTTCTTCTTGGAATAAATGTACAGCCTTCATAAAACACTAAACATAAAATAATGACGAATTCAAAATCCTGAAGCAACACTGAACTCAGCCATACTGAATGTATCTTGCTGTTTTGGTGGGTTTTTTTTGCCAAGATCTTCTTCCTAAAAGGCTCATCTATTAACTTTTGCTTAGAAATCTTTATCATAAACTGCTCACAGTGCACAAAATGTCAAGGTTACCACTGCTCATGAACATTACATTCCACACTTCCTAAACACAATCTAACAATCCTATTGCACTATTAAGCTTTTCAACATGTCTTTCTTCCTTCAAAAAAAACCAAGAAAAAAACTAAAATTAACATCTTCATGCTTTCTGATAGAAGTGTTTTAATTAACTCATTTAAGCTTTTATGTGTATGTAATGAAGCTGAACAATGGCAGAAACAAAGTGGATAGGCTTTTATAACTTTGCCATTTGTTTCCTGAGTAGCAGCATCTTGTACTTGAGGACCATACCTTGGCAACACGAAAAGGCAAGACTAAAAAAAGGACATAGTTCAAAGCAGAGGAAGTGTGCAGCAAAAATGTAGAAATCACACAGTCTGATGCTAGGATAAACCTAGGTGAACTGTTTGTCTTCCTCTGACAACCAGACCTATTATAAAAATAAAAACCCACCAAAATATAATCTCCCCCCACATCACAGTACTATGCTGTAGAATAGTAACACCAACACAAACTCCCCCACACATCAATAATACCAATCAACCAAACCCTTCAAAAGCAAAAAGCATCAGTATACCTCGTAAACAAATTAAATAAAAAATTCCAAAAGAATCTATCCATTGCTTATCAAATACTTGCTTTCCCTCAAATCTCCCCAATGAAGGGGAAATAGCCACACTTCTGCACAATAGTCTAAGATGGTGCATGAAACATCTTCAGAGTAAAAATAATCAGTATCCTTTATCTTCATTTGTTTATAAGCAAACAATTGCAAACCATATCCCCTGAAGCTACATGATAGGACCTCTTCCTGACTGTCATGACCCACTACAATAACAGCATGATATCCTGCTTGTGCTCACTTCATAATCTTCAGTACCTGAGCAAGTGAATTCAGCACGACAGGTAACTTCCAAGCAACAACTAAAAAAAGCATTTCTCTAGTCAGTAGAATTTAAAATATAAAAGTTGACAAATGAAGACAGGTTGTGGGTAAAGGAAGTTCTATTTGCTCATAAAAGTCCATTTCAAATAAATTAAAACCCAAGCATTTGCACTGTCCTCTTTACAGGAATACCTTACAAGATGCTCAGGCTCAATGTAAGACAAAATCCCCACCTCCTGCAAGTCTCTGAGTTATTATACAAAGACAGCAGCATTTTCTCATGTAGACACATTTATAGAGGGAAGCGTTTCTTCTACATGGATACTGCTCTTATGCATAGGAAGCACCTATTTTTAAGGAAGAAATATGGCTTCTGGATCCCAGACAGATGGAATTGCCTACTCTTAGGCCTGTATAAAAACCCTCAACTTTTAATCAGAAAGTAATTCAGATGCATTTCTGATTTTAGCTTTTTCTGACAGGTAGTCTTTCTGATTTCAATAGCAAGACAGGAAGCCTGAACACTAGAAGACTGCATGAAGGGTATCAGGACTGAGCTTACATTAAATGAAGATTCAAAGCCATTGAGGAGAGGCATCTTCCTTGGGAGATACCACCTAAGTCTATTAAAGGTAATGTCACACAGTTGTCAGGTTGATTCCTGAATCATGGTCTGGCAACATAACTTTGCAATAGGTCCATGAAGATAAATTCCTCCTTTTAAAATACTAAGGCTTCTCATGTTCAAGTGGTAAAGCCTGCCATGTGGCCAGCCTTCCACATCATCCCAATGCTCAGGAGCTCACACCATTTACCAAGCTCAGATTGCATATTTAATTTAGTCTGTCTACAGCAAGAAATAAAGCCAGTACTTCACTCGTGAGGCCTAAACTTATTAGAATTCAGTCTTCCTCTGAAAGATTTCTAATATACTTGACTCTTTTAGTTAGATACAACAATAAAACATTTGGAAGACGCTTGGATTTTTGCATTATTTTTAAATCAATATTAAAAAAAACAAGTTCCTTCTTCAGGTTGCCCTTCAGGTTTCTGTTCCAATTTATCTTTCTTCCTGACCCAAATCAAAGGCGTATTTTCTTTATAACCTTCATTCCCCTTCCAGTCTGTAGTGACTCATTACCTATTTCTACAGGCACTCCCTTCATAAAAGCCTACAGAAGCCTTTTCTTTACACCAATGAAACAAAAAGAAGGGTGATGGCTAACATACAAGCCCTTAGAAAAAATCTCAGTCAGTAAGTGTAACAACTTGACACCTCTTATTCTATATGGACAAACTATATTCTCATGACTTAACATGAAGCAGCAGTAACAACCTCTAAAATCTCAAATACTTCACCGTGTTATCTAAATAGTCTTATTTCTTCCTAGGATATTTGTGCTGAAAAAAATCTGAAGGTGAAATGTATCTCAAGATGTTTGGTCTATCGTTCTTCTTTATGACCTTTGTCCAAAATTAAGTGCTAATGGAACTAAAGTCAGCTACGAAGTTTCCAACAGGCATGTAATAAACATAATATAAGAAACTGTTCACATATATGAAAGTGATATTAAAATCCAAATCTTCAGATCTGGTAAAGGATGTTAAAATATACTGCATTAACCATGATTCTACAACCAGCAAAATAGCAATTTAGTTTCAAGAAGCTGATTCAGTTTAACAGCATGGTATTTTTGTACTTTGTGCCTTTGTAAGATAAGAAAGAGTGCTGACAACCTTGCTGGGTATGCTTTTTCATAAACAACCATTTCAATGAAATGCACAGAATAATGCTAAGAAGTGACAAGAGGGCTAGAAAACATTTTTTAGAAAATCAGCTTAAACCATTGAAGTAATTACAAAGAAGTTAAATTTTGAATTTTTAAAGACATTGGCACAGACAACAATAACTAGGACAGACAAGACACTGCATTCAAGGAAAGAAAGCTAACACTCAAAAGTCAGCTTTGCATGCACATAGTAAGAAGAAGAAGGAAAAACAAGGTAGGATTTTATGTGTACTGTGTGAAAAAGCCAATGACAAAAAAAAAGGCATAGTATACTTTCAAAAGAAAGTATTTATCAAAAAGAGATTATTTTTATTCCTATAAAACTACTCTCATTAGAAAATGGAATTTGAACCATTTACTCTTCTTGATCAATTCTTAAGAAATTAGAATGGGAGAAAGAAAAACCCTAGACATACATTTGAGTAGTTTTTAATTTAGTCAATAGTTTACAATAGTTTGAAAAAGAAACTTTAGATTGAAGACCAGGAGAAGATTTTTCTGTTATCTTTAATTCTGTGGCTTGAGACTGGCTGGAAAAAGTATAAGTAATCACAGAACCAACAATTTCTGATGTACTTCCTGCTGAGAGAGAAGCAGGAGCTGTAAATTCATGGCATTTGGCAGATGCCTCACTTAGCCAATTTACCTCCCATATCTCCCTCCACGTGATTCAGAAGTCTGTCCACATGTCACCTGTGGCATTTACATCATCAACTACTGACCCCAACAAAAACGTTCACTTCATAGAATCCTAAAAGAAAAGTGACTTCTGGGTACACAGCAAGTTTAGGAGATGCATGAAAAATATCACGCAAGAAGTCCTGAGAGCTTTCATATACAGGAACTGAAAAAGGGCAAGGCCAAATGTGACGATCATATCACCTAACCTAATGTGCAAGCTGCTTTCACAGGATATGCAAAAGTCTGTGTAGAGATGCCCAGAATTGATCTGCAATTCTCAGATGAGAAAAAAAACACTCTTACCCTTCTTAGTAAATTCTAAGTTTCAAATTTCAACAACTTAACCTCAATTATGCACAAAAGTCATTAGTCCTCACAAACCCTTTGCATATACCTAAAAAGACAGAAAAAGTATTGGCATCTAAAAAAGCACAAGACAAAAAAAGAATTAAAGCCGGTATGAAATACCTAGCATGAAGATTAAAGTGAAGACAGACTATATATATTCAGGCTTCTCAACTTACTTTAGTATCTTTAGCGTTGTCACAAATAAAGGTTTCCCCATATGGAGAGATAATGGGTGGCTTTTCCTCCATGAAAGTATCTTAAAGTAAATAAATACACAAAAACAGTCAGTGCTCTACTGTGAGTCACAAATGGTCTACTAAAGTCATAATAAAATCAACAAGGGACACAGATTTTTCAGCTTGCAATTTCTCTGTCCTTCCCAGAAAAAACTTCGAGGACCAAGAAACAATGTCCTAATTCTAAGTGAACTCCAGGTACCTTCTTTTCACCACAGACATTATCACTATTATTATGTAATCTGAATATAACTTGCATACAGGCATTTTCTTCTACCCTACCCTACATCAAGTTAAAATAAAAAAAACTTGAGCTGTCTAACCTAAGAAGCAATAGTGCCAAAGTGTTCTTTATTCTAACTTTAAAAAAACACCAAACATAAATAACCACACAAGTCTTTCATGCACAATCTTCATTTTGTCACCAAGTACTTGCTTGAAATAAATAAACAGAAGTTCAAACAAAACATATTTTTCGAATATGAAACACGTTTCCAGCTGACTGCACAAGACTTCTTAACGCTTCAGTACACTATTTAATACAATAAATTTCCTGTTGTTTCCTGGAGCTATGAGCACTTATAAATAAATTAAGCAGCATTAGTCAGCAATACACTCCTTATATCTTTCAAAAAGGTAACTCTGCTTAAAAAAATCTGGAAAAAGTGTATTAAAATAGATGGAGCATAAAGACTAGATTTTCTTATTTTTATTTTATTTGGTCATAATCAAAAGTAAGTAAAAATGCAAGTAAAAAGTGATTAAGTACTCGGCTATCACATAAATCAATTCTTCTAGACGTTTGAGATGTCCAATATTTCTTAACACATATAAGTAATACTTATTTCAGACAATCAGTACAATGTTTCTTTTTCTTTAATATTCAAGTTGTAAATATGAGCATGCTTAACTCACTGTTTTGTGAAATTTGCCTCCCAGTGCAAGAAGTATTTACAAGGTCCATATTTCTTCTTCTCTGAAGGGAACTTGAACAAAACAAAGCACAGAATGAAAACATTAATTGAAATTTCCCAGAAAATAAGCAAAACCATCTCATGTTACACAATTAAAATTATATAAAAAATACAGAAACAATAAATTTTAAAGTAGGAAAACTTCTGATTTATTTTAAAAGTCACACAACAATCTGTTTTCCTCCCCTTATGACACTGAATACTTCTCTGATCCTAGCAGACATCCCAAATTTGGGTTTTTTTAATTCTGAAGTGACCTTAAAAACCTTTAGACTGCTTGAAGAATGGAGTTCCCAGAGTTTTCCCTTCTCCTTCACAATGACTACCAATTACTGCATTTTAGAAAGGATGCATTATACAAATCTACTTTAACATTCAACTCAGAAGGGGCCTGAGAATCCAGCCAAAACATGCTCCCAACCACTGAGAAAAAAAAATTGCCATAACGTTTTGATTTCCTAAGGTGAATTATTTCTCCCCACAAAGTTTTAAAACCAAGGCGTAAATGGCATTGCAACTGCCTGTGAGAACCCCTAAACATTTTATACATGGGTAAGAATAGATCTCCATGAACAGCAGAGAAGTTGTTGTGGTGGGCTGGCCCTGTGTATTTCCTTAATTTCAAGTATACCGCAATATTACTGCTAGTATTAATATTTCAGGCCAAGATAGCTTTATAATCAGAACATAGCTTTATAATCAGAATTTAAAAATCTCTAACCCACCTTCACTAGTCCATCAGTTTGTATTAGAGGTTTTTTCAGTCAAGCTCTGAAGTCACCCATTAACAAAATTAGCATTCTTCCTCTTAACTATATTTTCTCTGCTTAAAATAAGAGTACTAAAGGTTCTTATGTATCCTTATAGGATATTCTGAGGCTGATAAACGCCATGTAAGATCCTTACTGGTTTTCCTAACAGTTTGTGGGTCCTCCACCTTTTAAAGCCAATTATCTTTGACTAAAAATATTAATCTCCTAACTTTTGTTTCCCCATTTAACATATTGAGAAACTTTATTAAGATAAGCTACATTTAGAACTTTAAACCTACTATCCCATGAAGCCAAACTTGAATTACTCCTAACTACAAAATGATGTTTCTTCGTGACAGAAGGCAGACATTTATGAACTACTATTTCACATAATTTTTGCTTCATGCTTAAATCTCTTTCAAAAAATTTATTTAATTCAAGATAGAAGCCTCACTTTAAAAAGTTACTTGATATTTTAAATGTTATCCAGGTAACACAAACTAAGTTCCCAAAGATTACTTTATAAAATCCTGGATTTAGAAAACACAGGGTAAATTAGGCCAGTGAAAGTGAATCACGGCCTAGTTCCCATATATAATCACCTACTCTCCTGAGTCATAATTACAATAAATACACAGCAAATACTTTAAAAGCCTGTATTTCACCAAACATTTTACTGAAATTCACGTAGTTACACCTTTTGAAGCTCCATTAGCAAACTAATTTCACGTGTTTTTATGAACCTTATTTTAAAGAACTTAATATGCTTAAAAAAATCCCGAAAACCTAACCTAGTGTATTTCAACACAGATCAGATTTTTTGTTGTTAGGTTGGTATCTTTTGAAGGGTATTAGCAGCATTAAACTAAATTAAGACTCACATATGAACAGCTTCAACTCAAAGAGCTTTTAAAATTATGGAGGCTTTCCTTATGTAAAACAGTGAGTAATTTGCTTAGTTTCACAGTAGATGGATAATTTCACCAGGTAATGAAAAATAACCAGTCAGATTGAAAAAACAACAGCAACAAAAAAATACCCCACACTTTTTTTTTAATCCTTATACTTTTCAGGATTTGTGTATTCTTTTTGATCATGCACCTACATTTTTGTATACGTGGCACAAAATCCTGCTAAAAAGAAAACTATAGTCTTTTTTTCCAGCATTCAAAAATATAACCTATTGACAACTTCTGAAAAGCAAATTTATAAATAATATAAATTAAAAATTGCCTCAAGATAAAAAATAAATGAGCTCACTTTGAATATCTGCTTGCAAGATTATGTCATAAAAAACCTACAGTGCAAGCTATAAAATAATAATTTGTCAGTGCTTATTAGAATAGTAAGCTAGCTGTTGTACAAATTAAATATCTGGATTAAAAGGGACAAAAATACTGAGGACATCTTTTGGAGGAAAAAAACTGAAAAAAAAATTTTGTAATTATATTCATCTATGACTTTCTCAGCCATTTCAGGAAGCAAAAGATCCTCTCTTGAATTTTTTCAATTCAAAAACTGAGTACCTCAAACAAAGAAGACTGATATTCTTTATATTGCTCTTTAATGAAAGGTTAGTGCAAGCAGTCTGCCAATGACAAAGTGTGCCAATTTTTCAAAGATGTAATAATAATTTCAATTATAATTAAATGTTGACTTTATTACAACTGTGGTGATTAAGACTCCCTGTTTTCATATATTAAGAGGTACCGGATGCAGCTCTGGCTACATACACTTCTCTAACACCCCGTACTATGCATAAACAGGATGAAAGGATGTGATGAGGCAGTGACTGGTCTTGCTAAATACTGAAAGGCTAGAAACCTAAACCTTGGCACAGAACTTTGCACCAAGCTGGTTTATTCAATATATTCCTGTCACCTTGCAAATAAAGTGAGGGAGGGAAGTCAGTGCAAGCAGTCAGTGCTTCCAAGTCTTTACTGGCATTCATCTGCTGAGTGTTTTAAATGAAAGCAGCTTTTGTTTTCAAACATTCAAGACATGTTTTCTTTTCTATCTATCTCAAGACCTAACCCTCCCATAATGCAAACATATCAAAACTGCTCTAGCATGCTGTGTTAAAACTTTGAGGTTCATAGACTGCTAGAAGAGGTAAAGTAATAGTGATACTTTACCACGGGAAAAGAGAGGGAGAAGCTTCTCTCTTCTAAAAAATTTATTTTGTGTGGCAGAATACAGCAGAGATAAACAGCAACACCAGTTTGGCACCTCATTAGAAATCTTGACCAGCTTAAGAAATGGAGTCTAAAGGATATCAGCACCAAGTAAGAAATTCCAACTACAGGATCTGCCAGCTACAGAAAACAAATGATGCCTGCTCAAGCCAAGCACCATTACCTATTTTACTTATTTGTATCTTCTCCCATATTCAAGATGTTTCCCAGAATTTTGGTCTAGTTTTTCTTACTTCTCTTAATGAAGAATCAGAACAACCACACTACAGCACAACACAGGTAACATAGATGGGTGACGTGAAAAAAATCTAAAAAAAATTATAGAATTCATCAGTCTGAAATTTTATCTGTGTATCACTCTGTATAAAAATCAGATCTACCACGTTATAAATCTGCTTCAGCTTTTTGTTTGAACAGATTCTTTTGTGGAATGATGCAATGGTAACTATTTCACAGAAGAGAAACTGCTAATTGACATCATCCAAAGCTTCTAAAGCTATTTCAAAACTAATTATCTTTAATCTTGTCCTATGGACACATTAGTGGTTAGCTCCATCCATTGCAATACTTTCACTATTTTGTCTTACAAAAACCTTCAGTTGTTCACTTTTTGGTTTTAAACACCTTTTGACCGATCTTTACTAATTCTCCAATAACAGAGACCTCATAATGATATACAGAAAAGTCAAGCTGAAAATAATCTAGTGTAACTACACATCAATACTGAACAACAAAAACCAGTACCAAAATCTGTACAGTAACTCCACCATTAAGAAAAATTGTGTAATTGACACTTTTTTTCTTTTTTTTTTTTGAATTCTGCACCACGCAATAATACAGTGATGGCACACTGTAGTGCCATAATTCAAGAAAGAAATAAACCCAAAGTATTTTCAACTTCTAAAATGCTGTAGTGTCTTTTCAGCTTCCAGCATGCTTTGTTACAGGAAAGAACCAGGAGCAGAAGTGAGGCATGGGGAAACAGATAAAATTGCAAGGCAGGTAAGCGCATTATTAGTAATAAAAAATTACATGGCCATAGCCCTACCTTGGGGCACAAGGAGACCCACTGTATGAACTTTCTGTGCTAAAGGCACGTAAGAGGTGATGAGAAAAGTATTCTTTGCATAAAAATTTAATGACTAATATCCATGAATGACTAGAAGGAAATGCTGAGTTTCCCAGATTTCGGCAGGATTTCTCTGCCTCTGTGGAACAGCCTTTATAGAATGTGGTAAGAATGAAACCAGCATCTGTCAGTAAGGCCAGCTGAGGCTCTGTTTATGTGATTCTGTGAGAAAGACACAATCTTTCCTGAGGCTAAAGATGCTTCCACAATGCCATTTTCAAGTTCTGTATTAGTTCTCTGCCCCTATGAAAAGGTTGTCAGCAAGGTTATCAAGAATGTTTCTGCGAAGTTTTAAGTTCTGCTCTGAAGTTCTTGTTTAGCCTCGATCTTCAGCAGACAGACTGATCCCTCAGGATTTCCCTATTACTATAACTGAAGTATAATGACCAAGGAAAGAAATGGTGGGTAATGAAGTTAGTGACCCAGTCACATACCAATCATTAGCAGACTGGGATTTGGAGGATTGACTCCGATGGTGGGAAGACTACAAATACAGCACATTCTCTCAACTGGATGATCGTTTCTCAAAAGAGACAGTAAGAGTACTCCTTCAGTGTGTAGTTATTATTATCTTTTAGGTTAAGAATCCCATTTTGACTCAGCATGAGAGAGACAACCTTATTAAATGAAGTAGGGATAATCACTCTACAAAAGTTAACATAAATCTGTTCCTCACTGAAAGATATATATACTTAAGTTTCAATGATCACAATTTTTTTGTCATTTAGAAGACACCAATGAAGCAGTTTTTGAGGCACACAAAAAATTCTTTAATTGTTGCAAGGAATATTTGCCTCTCCACCCGTTCAAACAATTGTATTACAAGATTAATTTTGACTTCTTTTGGTAATCTAAAAAAACTTATAAATGCTGGGAAACCCCTGCATTTAGAGCATGTATAAACTCGACATGTTTCTAACTGCTGAGATATGCAGATGAAAAACCCAAGATAAATACAAAACATTCGCAGACATGTCCCTTCTGGGCACATCTTGTGGTTCAAAATTTTTTAGAAACTAAAATAAATGCAATCTACTGATTTGGATATGGCTACACCAACAAAACTTTGCATACACATTTGCATTAATTTTTCTTCTGTTCAAGATACTTAGCCAGCATGAAAACTAAAACTTACTTAATAGATCCAAAAATATTACAAATTAACATTTATGGAGACATTTTTTGCTTACAGACTGTAATACTGTATTGTATTCTTTTTAACATTCAAACAATTATACTTTTATTAAGATAGGTCTTGAATTAAGTCCCAACAGCAGATATTTTTCTCAACATCTATCATATTTTTCCAAGACAAGCTACAACAACAAATGTTTCTCAAGAAAATAAGTGCCACTCAGTAATTTGTGGATTCACATTATGAACTCAACCATTTTGAAGGAAGAAAAATACATAGTCACATCACTTGAATACTTAGAAACAAATTCAATGATTCCATAAACTCTGAAAACCTTTCACATCTATTGTCTTATTTTTCCTCCTTTTTCTACTGTTGTTTTCCCCTGCTGGAATATCTCAAAAATATTTTCATACCTGAAATATCATTAAAAGTTAAGTTTTTATTGTTATGAGACCACCAGCAAAAGCCAACACATAATATAAATAAATGGTTGCCTTCATTCTCCAAAGATAAGAATTAAATGACTACCAGTTCAGAAATTAACCCAAAAGCCATCTTGAAGCAAGTTCTTGCTTCTGCTTTATATAGTTGTTCTTAAGAGTTATATCAAAAGCAATAAAGATTCCTTTATTTATTAATATGTAGATGCAGAGAAAACATGGGAGGTTATAAGGACACAGTGTTCTAAAATTTCTCTTTGCACTCATTTCTGCCTTTAAATTACACTGAAGCTTAATCTTTCTTCAACTAACTCGGCAACATTCACATCAAATCAAGTCTATTTTACAGTGCATATTAAAAAAATCCACACCAAAAAAAAAAAAAGAACAACAAAAAAAAAGAAAGAAAGAAAGAAAAAAAAAACAAGAACCCCTAATCTGTAAGTTCTACCATGACAGGAATTTCTCATTAGTAATGAACAGCAATTACCTTGATGAAGATTGAACTTTACTTGATTCGGGAATTTCTGGTACAGGTCGATGCCTTAAGATAAAAGATCGGCTTGCTCTTGGAAATACTTTCATGCAGTTTAGTGTACAGGAATCATATAAGTCATTGTCTATCATTTCTCCTTTAAACTTATAGAATGAAGAATCCGGTCTACTATCAGATATAAAATCACCCTCATCTGCAAACCTCTGATGTTTGTTTTCCTTGCATTTTGTCTCACATGAACGAACAAATGAAGGAGGATCACGAAACACCAAAGGGCCAGTCAAGTGCTCATCAGCTTGGTATGCAGCAGTTTCTGTCAGTGATGCATCTGGCTGAGTATTCATCTTGATATTTCTGCTTTGACTGACAGCTTTTACTAAGCTGTCTGAATTCTGGTATAACCTGGAAAAATCCAAATTTGTAAAGCTTTCATCATTTGCCTCCATTGAGTTTTCCTCTGCAAATTCAAACTTTTCCTTATTAAGATAAGATTTTTTAAGAAGTTGTTCTGATGATGCTGCAGGTATCACATCAGCCCCATCTAAACTTGAACTGCTTACAGGAGACTCCTGATCTGAGGATGAATATTGCTTTTCTTCCAAACCTTTCAAGTCTTTGAATTTTAGATTTTCACGGAAAAAGTAACTTCCTTGAGTTTTCAAAAGACTGTCTAACTGCTTAAGAATCCTTCTGCGATGCCCTGTAGGTAACACTCCCATTTGCTGAAGCACATTGTTATTTATTCCCACACAATCTGTCACACTGTTATAGCCATATTTTTTAAAGTTAGGAAGATACTGTGCAAGGTTAATGTTGACCAAAAATTCTTCAATATCAGTGCCATTGCCTGTGGATGACATGACTTCATTTCATATTGTCCCACACAGTCATGTAGAAATAGTCAGGTTGTATGCATGTTCACCAGCAAGAAAACGCTCTTGAATTTGGTATCCAGCAGCCAGCAGAAAACACCTGTTTCCTCACAACACCTCTTCAAGTTTCTTCAGTTCAAACTGATTTTTTTTGAAAGACTGCAAACACACAGAAAAGAAAAAGGACATAAAAAAAAATTCTCACCTGAACCTCACAATTACCTTGAATAAAATTGTGAAAGACTCCCTGTCACTTGAATTGTTCTAACTGTTGGTATACAATAATTTCAACAATTGTAACCCATCCTTTTATCTTAGCCTATATGAAGAAAATAGCAAAATCAAAGTCTCAGCACAAGTAATACAGACTTAAAACACATACTCCTAGTAATTAAACATTAAAATGAACAGTTAAGAGATGAACCATTTACCTACACACACCCTCTTATTACGCAGTACTTAGATATCAGGGAGAAAAAGAGTTATTCAAGACCACAACTGGAACCTAAAGCTTTCCTATTTCCACATTAGCACCAATTAATTATGGAACAGGGCTTCTACTCCCTTGTCATCCAATCTCAAAATCTTTTTAGCATAGAAACACACTTGAAATGGAACAAAGGAAAAATGACTGCCTAAAGCATTCTATGTAAACTGAGCATTCAAGCCCTCTTCAACTGAGAATTCAACTGAACAAGTACTATCTTCAATAACATGGTTTGCAACAGTACATCAAGCCCTTCAAACAAAGTGTCCTGCAGGAACACAGGAAACAGGTAACCACCAGCATCTCAACTCCGACAAGGAAGCAGTTTTCCCTTGGACACAAAGAGAAAAAAAGGCATGACCCCATAGGCAAGTTCTAGCTGTCCATGAGTTTTTCCTTAGTATTTTGCAACAAACCTCTTACACTCCATATTTCATCCACTTGAGTTATTCTTTCTTTCAGGGCCATATCTAAATTCATAATTTACAAAACCCAGATGGTACTTTTTTGAAGGTGTTTGTAACAGTCTGAAATCATATTTCTTAAAACCTTAAAAGAAGGTTTAAGATCACCAACACTCAAAAACAACAGGTTTTTTCACCTCTCTATTTCTGTAGATTTGGCCTCAGGGAAACCTGCTGACTGTAGCAGCTGTCCTGGCATGCAGGCACTAGCCTTAAGCAGCCTGGAAGAGAAAAATCAGCTTCAGTGGAAGAGCATCAAATTTAAGTAGCATTTAGAAAGAGTAGAAATCTTATGCCCAGCATTTTTCTGTGGTAGTAGGCATTGATACCTCATTCTTCCGTATGTTTCATGACAAAAAATGCTGTACTTATGATCTAGAATGGAAGGTTAAAACATTGCCTACATTTTTACTGCATCAATTCTTGAATAAAGGATGAACCGTCTTCCCGTAAGATTCCTCTGTCTTTTGAATATCTAAGTCATTATTCAGCAAGGTAGTAATAAATAAATAAATAAATAAATATGTATGCCCCTCCTCATTACCCGAAGCCACATACAGATAAATCTAAATTTAAAATAATGTACTGCATGAAGCATAGCTGCTATCACTGCTACTGGCAATTGTACTTTCTTATGATTATGAAATAAATTATGAAGTAACTATCTCAATCACCAGATGCCTTTTCTCGCAAAATTTTGTAAATATCTTCATTACTCCCACACTTTCATAAAATGGTAATCAAAATCAAGGAAAAAACTAGACTCTTCATACCTACATCATGTAAACATGTATGTGACATAATAAGAACAAAAAAAAAAGGAGATGAGCAAACTTATATTTTACAGTATACTTACTATAAATGTTCCTTCATTTAAAATAAATCATTGGATTCTCTCTAGTCTCTAGCTTCGTTTTTCTGGATATATTTTTATCAAACCCACAAGTCTGAGAAGTGACTTATCTCGAATAACAAATGGATACAATTAAAACCTTTTAGAGAGACAACTCTATAGGTCATTCAGATATCAACCTCTCAGGAGAAATTAACTTTATTATGGAGTTAACCCTCAATTAAAGATTCTCAAGTCATTTAAATTCAAAAAAGTGTTTGATTGATCTAAACTTACTAACAATCCACTTTGATAATTACCTTTGTCCCAGCCTAACCTGCATGCTTATATAAACTTTCATCATTCCTTTAAAAACTTGAAAACTCAGCGTTTCCTCAAAATTTTCATGGCAGCCTCTAGTCATAAAGGATAAAACTCAATAGTGTGGTCTCCACCCGTCTCTAAACCCTGGAAAATGTAAATGTATAGTCTCTTAACAAGCTGAATATATATTCTCAGATTCTGAGCACAGAATGAAAAAAAATTAGTACAGAAATTTCTTATTGGTGAAAAAATTGTCAGACAAGTACTGTATGGGCCAGAAAATAGTCTTTCAGATACCCAGTAATTAAATAGAAAACACAGTCAAACAGACTACAAACAAAAGAAAAAAATAATAAATAAAAATAAGCAAACAAGAAAAACACCAAAAAACAACAGCCAAACCATACACATATTCAAGTATATAAAAGCCCTACAGTGTTAGCATATACTAAGGCTTTCAAAGTTGCAGTTGGTTATCTCAGCCATTTCCACCTTCCTTGACAGTTCTGGGTTTCATGGTAGCATTTGGCTATTTTTTCCCTAAGGTGTTAGTGTTCATTTTCAGACAGTAGCATCTTATCAATCCCTCCACCTTTCATAATAACCAAAAAATTCACCTGGGAAAGTAGCTTTAGCTCTGTATTTATAAATAAATACATATGAGTTATATATAAACGTATGTATTTATACCCACACACTCTTTATTTTTTTATTTATACCACTCTCTCTTCTCTATCTTAATCCTGTTTTTTCTACATGCAATAGCTTTGCCTACATCTCATTCTGGAACACCTCCAGTGTTGTTACTTCAGGAACTCAGCTATTTGGATTCTAACCCATCTTTGTAGAAACCACATACCAATTCGAAGGGTTACCTAGCACAGAACAAACTTTGCTTCCAAATCTGTAAGAATGATTATGTTTTGCTATGTATTTTATGAACAAAGCACGTAGCAGAGAAAGGAAGGAACTTCTTGCTGAGACGAAGACAATTTGCCCACAAAATGCCAACAGTGCTGGAAGATAAAGCCCAAAGCTACTTTCTGTTTCTGTAGTTGTCGATGGCAGAAGCTATCAGTGTATCCTTCAAGATTTCTGAAGACTTGCTATAGATCTGGCCTAACTATCCAACTGGTTAAATACCACTAAGATCACATATTTTGTGGGTCTGAGCAAGGGTTTATGCTGACAACTGATTTGGTTCCACTACTTACACAAAGGGTAATGTAACAAACAGCTAAACAAATCTACACACACTGGCGAGTGTTTTGCAGGCTAGAACATAAATATGTAGTAACTTCTTAAAATGTTTTATAAGGTGTGAACTCAAGTATACAGAAATGCAGAACACAAGGACCACCTTATTCATTACTCTTTGATATGATTTTTATCAATTTAAAAAATAATTTAATCTCCTCCTCAGCCTTGACTGAAAAGTAAGTTATAATAAACCCTAAAGAATGTGCAGCATTAGAAATGGAGTGACATATACAAATTTGTACAAATACATTCATTCTCTTTCACATCCATATTTCTACCACTACAAATCTGGCATTTGTTCAACATTAGTCCACATGGTTGCATATATTCTGAAAAATAAACCTCTTCTCAGAAGCAAGGCAAAATAGACTTTTCTCACTTGGAAATAAAGAGCAAAAAAAATCCCCAAAAAAACAACAAAGAAACAAAAAATACCAGGGGTATTTGAACTTTCTTAAATAAAATTGATTCTTGTAATATTATATTCTCCTAAGTAGCGTAACCAAGACAAAAATCACTATTCTCAACATGGATGCTAAAATAGGAAAATGCTATAATGGTTATTAAAAAAAAAAAAAAAAAAAAAAAAAACACACACACTTCTTGGAAGACACCTGACCATTCTATTTTATCAAAATAGGGACAAAACACCTATATTGCTATGTGCAAAAAGCAATACAAGGAAAACTATCTGGGCTCTTCGTCTAAGAAAAAAATTCAGCAGGGGGTGAACTGCAATGTCTGTTGCACGCCCCAAGCCTTCTATAGGATCATCCACCTTTCTTTCAAAGAAGATGTTTCTCACACTTGTTTACAAACTAATTGTCAATTTCTTCTTTTTCACATTTTATGGAAGGGACTTAGACAAGCAGTGGCAAAAAAACTCAGAGTGGCCTAACAGTTCTTTTCTTTTACTAAGATTGACAGCTAAATACCATCAAAGAAAAATGGCAATTTTAACTTTCAGAACCCTTCCTCACATGGAGGGCAAGCACCTGCATCTAGCATTCTGGAAAGCTGTTTCTACTGATTTTAAAATTCTTTCATTCTACAATTTTTCAAATAGAAAAGTCTTGAAGACAAAATTGACTGGGAGACAGACAAATCTTTGTTGAAGCAAGCAAGCAATACAAATTTTAATAATAAAATGTGTGAACAGTAGATTATAGGTGAAGACAGAAACACTCAAGTGGGCTTTTTTTTCCCCCTTTTTTAATACCAATACAGATACAAGCCTGAAGAAACTGTCAAACCTTTAAAAGTACATGGCAAGATAATCATGCTGTGAGCAATCTGTTCAACAAACACAAGCAAGTTCAGGCTTGCTCCCAACTTCTGCTAAACCACATACTAGATTAAGAGCCTAATAAATATGTTTAAAAAACCCCAGCAAAATAAAACAGTAAAACAGGTCTTACCAAGGAGCAGAACGAAACCTGCAAGTAGTGAATTTCATTTTTGTATTGCAATTGACTCCATACAAACTGACAAGATTAACATACAAAACACTGTAAAGATCTTTTCCAAAACCTTCATTATACAATCAGCATACTGACTGCTTTTAAAAAAAGTAAAAATATATATATATATATTGATTGATTGCAAGAACTCCTATAGAACTGTTGCCTTTACCAATACAAGGAAGTTACTAAGCACAGGTCAACCTAGTGGATGATTACAAAATTACTTTAATTACATCTTCTGTCAAACTGTTTCTTTGTTGTTTTTTTGATGTTTTGTTTCTTGGGGGTTTTTTCTGTTGTTTGTTTGGGGTTTTTTTTTGGGTAGTTTTTTTTTTTTTTTTTGTTTATTTCAGTGTGCTTGCCTTCTAGAAAAAGGTTCTGCAACATTCGTTACCTCGGAGTCAAGCCTTATACTGCAAGAAATTCCAGTGGAACAACTCGCAAAGTCGCTGGAGTAAGAAACTGCACGGCATGAATAAGCAAACTGAAGGTGGAATTGGAACTTTGGGAAGTTGCTGTGGCAACTCGGCAAAGCACTCGGGTGCTTTACCATTCACTTCGTATTCTCCAGAATCCAGGACGTACTACAGCTTCTTCGACTTTCTTAAATTTTCTGATAAAACTTCCAGGTATATAACAGCAGCTAACATGAGGTCTGTTCACGTCTGATTTGACAAAAACAACTCACAGAGTAAATAAATACACAATAGCAAAGCACTGTTCTTTAGCGTGACGTTTACGTACAAATCGCTGAAACTATGGAAGCTATAAAGAAAACGGAGAGCAAGGCACGCCTTATTTTCTACCTGCCTGCCTGCCGTTCGTGGTCCGATCCCGGCCTGGCCATGTGTCGCTCCTGTGGGACCAGCCCCGGGCGCTCGGCAGCTTGCGGGCCAGCGCAGCAGCAGCATCTCCCAGAGCCTGCCCAAAACCCCGCACACCCCGCGCCCGCCGAGGCCGCCTTACCTCCGGCAAAGTGGCTGACAGGGACAGGGAGGCAGAGGAAGGAAGCGCAGGGCTTTAGATTGCTTCAACTTTCAGTTCTCCCTGCGGCTCCTCGCTCGCTCATTTTCTTGCTTGCTTTCTCTCCCTCCTTCCTTCCTTCCTTCCTGCCCGGCTGGCCCCA